TTTTTTTTTTTTTTTTCCGAGAAAGGTAACAATTTGTATATATATCATTAGCACAAAGGCAGTGCTAGATGCCATATTTACAACCCAAAAGAGAATATCACAAAAGCAAGTGTCCTTGTTCTTCTTACAAAGATTCTGTAACTGCTAGCTCTTGGATAGATTTTGCATCATCTGGAAATTCCTCTTTATTCCAAAAGTGAAACAAAAGTAGACAATTCATTTTAATCTTTTTACCAGAACTGTATTTATCCTCAAAATATCTTGAATTTCTTTCCTTCCATATAGTCCACTATATGTTAGAAGGGACAATTTTCCATCTCTTCTTCTGTGCGATGATGTTGGCCAGGCTATTCCAACATGCCAACAGCTCCCTAGTTGATTCCTTTTATGTACTCGTGGTTTCTCCTAATGAAATATCTCTTTTACTGCTATCACGGTCTTGGTTCTTGCATTCAAGCCCCATTTCTATTTACACTATGTTTGATTCAAGAAAGGGAAAGGGAGGGTACTGAGTCATGCTAATTTGATTCCCTTAAGGAAGTACTTCATCTTCCCCTCATGTTGTTTGGTATTGCCTGAAAAGTAAAAGTACTGCTTCCGTCTATTTATGAGGGTTGAATAAGTTAAAGTGGAAAGGTTCACTTCCTTCCATTTTTCTTCCCCTTCTCTTTTACTTCCATTATACAAATGAAACACCTGCTACCCTGCTTTCCCTCTTGCAACTATTCCTATTTTTACCCTATCGAAGGATAGAACTTATTCAATCAAGAATGATGGCTTTCTCCTAATGAAATATCTCTTTTACTCATCTTTTTCTGCTCCCACTTTGTCGAATATTGCTTTCCGACATACAAATTGGCTATCCTCACATAAACTTTTTGTTGGCCATATATATTTTTCGTCAAAAACTGTGAAGTAACGTATTTAGTGGATGTTATCTTATTTAGCTTGGTTTACGTACTTCCAATTGAACCTCATTTCATTTGTTTCAGCATAACCTTAGAGCGTCTGTTGATTGATTTTGGTTTAGTAATAAAGTTTAAAGCTTACGGTAAACGAAATAGATATTTTGTGCTTTTTTCCCTCAATGTTTACCGACCCTCATTCCTATCTTTGGTGATGCAAGATTTTGCGAACTCTTTCTGCTAACTTTATCGCACTTTTGGTTGCTTGCTTCACTAATTGGTGTGATGCGCTCTTGGCAGGGTTTGGTAGCAGCAGCATATGCATTGGGTGGTGAGTCTGCAATTTCTGCCAAAGTATTCTGATTCTGCAAATTTTCTTCATTGCAGCAATTTTGGATACACTTATTCCAGCAAATTAATGTTTATTGGAGAAGAACACAGGCTATTATTGAATTTCACTCTAGACATTCAAATTTGAAGAAATTAACGGTCAATGATTCTTGTATCTTCTTTTGGGGGGTAGTTGTATGCGATTTGCAAGTGTATCACATGATGTTTGTTCTCCAAACAGAAGACATTATGAATTTCTTCTTGCTTTTTATTCTCCAGAGTGGGAGAAGACACTACAATACATTGGAGTTTTTGGCCTATGTCAGGTAATGGTTCTTGGTTCAAATAAATTTTCTTTATGCTATAAAGAGAGAGAGAGAGTTTCCTATATCTGTTTGTACTAAAAACTAACTGAAATGAGAATTAACTTTTTCATACTTGATTTCTTTTAGTTGGAAAGCCAAACAACAATTTCATGATTATTGTCGAAGGACTAAATGCTTATTAAGCTGATACTTGATTTCCTAAACTCTGGATTTTTTATTTTTGTTTTTTGTTTTTAGACTTTATACCGTCGAGTTTCTTCTTACGAGGATTCAGAGGATTTTAAACAGGATATGAGGTAAAACACCTCTTCATTAACTTGAATTGCTGTCAAGTTCTATACTTTTACATAGTGTTACTTTATTTTATTTGTTCTTTGAGCCACCCTTTAAAGTTTTACTAAGCGTGGAACTAAAGGTTAAAGAACTAAAAGTTAAAGAACACCAAGTGAAGAAAAAGCTAATGCACTTATTTTCAGTTGGTCGACTAATAACATCAATTGATGTTATAAATGTGATGCTACTTTTGGCAACTCAATCACATTGAGCTTTCCATTAAGTACTGGGGTAGATTTAGATACCTCTTGGCTTATACATATATTTAAAATAAAATTACTTCCTGATTAAAAAAAAGTAGTTAGTAATTTACTTGAAAGGAGAAACAACTGTTCGATCTTAGGCATATGACAAACAACGCTTTGTGATAACTTATACAATGAGCTCCATTCTTATAGCCTTGGACTAACAACATAGCAGAAAATGATGATAACTCAAACATAGACTGTTTAGGATGACATCATAACAGTAGATCTTGATACGGATCAGATCAGAGGCGGATTTAGGATTTGTTGAACATGGGTGCACCACTAAAAAAATTGAAAAAAAAAGTATTAAGTGGGAATTGATCCGTGTTCCTCTAGGTTAATAATCCAATATTCAATCAAGTGCACCATTTAGTCTTTTTGGAACATGGGTGCCAACACATAATATTAGTAAATTCTAGAAAATACGTGCATAAAATACCTAGTTTGGCGGAAAGACCATGGGTTCACGTGCCCCATGATTTGGGCTATACATCCGCCCTTGGATCAGATGTGTTATCAGTTCCCATCATGGTTTTCTCCCATATCTGATTTTTATTATTGCACTATGTTGGATGCCATTGTCTTGTTGTAATTTCTACATGCTTGTGATATGATATATTTTACAATGTTGCATGTGTAAATTGTTTGCTTTGATGACATTAGACGGATGCTTACTGTGTTCTTTTTCCAGGCAACTTTTGGTCCCCGTTAGGCTAGGAGAACAGGCAATGACATGGGCAGTTGGCAAGTTGGAAACAAACCGTAGTCGTAATGGCCTACCAACTTCACCTTCTTCAACTGATGTCCAGAGCAGGGTGTTGCAAGCTGCTGCAAAGCATGAATCTCAACCAGAAAATGAAGAGCTTCAGGATCCGTCCCCTGAAACTGTGTCTTCCGTCAGTGAAAACGTTGATCTTTCTGAAGCATAGAACATTAAGTAGTTTTCAGCTAACTTTGAATAGTTCAATCGAATGATATTGCATGTTGCTGGAATCCGTTCTGTAGATTCAATTAAAGCACTGATATTATCGACCAAATAAACCGCACCTCAAATTTGTATAGTCAAGACCCTGATATTTTTTTTGTAATGAATATGTAATGATCTGCTGATTAACAGGAATGTCCCTATAAGGAACTCTGTATACCAGTCCCTTACAGGGCCTAAAACAAGTTAAGTGGGGATGAGTCTTTAAAAATTGACCCTGTTTCCTAAAGTATTTAGAAAATGACCCCCGGTCCCACGCACACTTATTATTTGTCCGGGATTTCTCTTTCAGATTGATAGGGTTTATGCTATATTTACTCTACTTATATTATTAATTGTTTACAAATTCTACTCGGTTGGCATGACTTCGTGATTTTTTAATTATTCATTTGACTCTATCATATTGGTATGACTTTGTTAATTGCATTTAACCTATTTATTAGATTGTTCACAAACTCTAATCCAATTGGCATGAGTTTGTTCTTGTTCAATTGTTCTCCAAATTCTATCAGATTGGCATGACTTTGTGTTATCTACAATTGACCTATTTGTTAAATTGTTCATCAAAGTCAACCCAATCTGCATAATTTTTTTGTGTTGTTCAACAAATTATTCTACAAAATTGTAGTTCCAATTTTGATTAAACCACCGCAAATCTGCTCTAAATGATCTCAACATTTTAAATAAAACCTCCAAATACCAACATAAAAGGTCCTCAATTACAAATTTAGTCAAATAACACCAAATTAAAAAGACCCATTTTGTCTTCTTCAACAATTTCTAAAGACCAACAATGAAATTTTGAGATTTTCTAAGTAAATCATTAAATCATGTTTGAATTAAAAATTTAAGCATAAAGTATCAATATTCATACTATTTTAACAAAAATCAATCATTAACTTCCAGTTTATACCCCCAACTAAAATTTAAAGCTCCTAATATTGAAAAACTAGAGAGTTCTTGGTGAATAAGAAGCCCATTTTTGTAGCAAAGTAAAAAAACGGTGGTAACATTTAAAGAACAATCCCTTAGGGGAACAATGGGTGCAATTTTGTGGTAAAAATGGCAACACTAGCCCACCCTGTATTTTAAACAGTGGCCCATCTAGTTTCAATCCGGATCGGTTGTTATGCCCCGACCTTGGGGGTGGGGATCGGTGCTCAACTGAAGTGACCAGTAAAGCAAATCCAACTGGTGCCTACTATCTAACGTTGCTCATGAATAATTTAAGTAGAAAAAGATATTTGACCTGGTGCCTACTATCTAACCTTACCCATGAATAATTTAAGTAGAAAAAGATATTTGAAGCAATCATATTTGATGAAGCAATCATATTTGAAGCAATTCAAGCAAATGAGTAGGAACTAGGACAAATCATATTTAGAGTATATGAGGAGTTTCATAGAATCTGATTCTATGAAAGGAGTCTAGCCAAACATACCTTATTCGAGCTTTCCTTAGGATCTCTATCATGTTCCACTACTCTTAGCAACTTCAATCTACATCAACATAGTTAATTGGATTATCATTAGTAAGAATTCTTATATTTTAGGCCTTTTAGGCATTTTGTCAAACACTGCATACTTGTCTACAACCTTCTACAATGGAGTTTCTTCATCTTACAACCAACTTCCATACCAACAATTTACCTACAATTGTTCTTAGGTAAACAACAACCTCTATTGGTACATGCATGCGCAACAATCTATTAAAAAAAATTAATATCTCAAAAAGAATATTTAAATTGATGTCTAGATTCATTCTTTTAATGAGTGTTTATTAGACAAATCAATTTAAATATATTTTAATATGTGTAAAAGTAAATTAGAATAACTTTAAATATAATATTTTATTAATATTGAATGGGTATCAAAATCAGTTATGTTTTTGTAACTTTGAAATTGACCAAAGATTGGTCTTGTATAACCGTTTCCTTAATGTCTAATTTGATAACTTTTCATTAATTTTTTGAGAATAACAGTTCTTTGGTCTTAAATGACTATAACGTTGATGGCATTGAATTCTTAATACATTTTAACGTTTCTTTCATTTCAGATTGTCTTCTTTGGACTATATATAGAGCTATCAACTTGTGTTCATTATAGTAGTGTGAAAAAAAGTTAAAACTTTTCTTCCCTATTCTTTTGTGTTGGGTTTTTCTTTTATACAATATTTGTTGTTTCTGCTCCTAGTTATACTAGAAGAGCTTGTTGAATCCTGGGGGATACGCCTAATAATATTCATCTCGATGTGGGCGAAATATCCTTATGGACAATGTCTTTGACACGCCTCAAACTAAACCTTTTATTCTCCATAATCATCCAATATTTTCCCAATAATCTTAAGGATATTTTCACGTTGTTGTTATGGAGAATAACACTGCTAATGTTATTGTTGATGCTACTATACCTGCTACACCAACTGTTTCTGTTGCTGTTCCATCGCCAATTACCTATGCCAAATATTTTCCTGATGTTTCGAAAATTGAGGTTTTTGGTGGAGATAACTTTAAGCGCTGGCAGGAACGCGTGCATTCTATTTTGGATATGCATGGAGTTGCTTTTGCACTTACTGATCCTAAGCCGATTGAAGCGACTTTCATTCAGATGGATCAATGGGTTCATGCTAATAAGGTATGTAGCATACTATAATTTCTACTCTTTCTAATGAATTATTCAATGTCTACGTTTCCTACAAGGAGGCAAAAGAAATCTGGGAGTCAATGATAACAAAGTACACTATTGAAGATGCTACTAAACAAAAGTTTGTAATTGGAAATTACTACAAGTGGGAGATGACGGAGGACAAGGACATAACTGCACAAATCAACGAATATCACAAGTTGATTGAAGAACTCAAATCTGAAGATATTTTTCTGCCCGAATAGTTTGTTGCTGGTATGCTAATAGAAAAACTTCTCAAATCTTGGAGTGACTACAAACAACAATTGAAACACAAACACAAGCAGTTGTCGCTGACTTGGTCAAGCACATTATAATTGAAAATACCAATCGCAAGCAGGTTGTTGCTGACAAAGGAAAGGAGATTGCTACAAAAGCCAACCTTGTGGAGGATAATAAGTGGCAGAACAAATCAAATAATAGGTATGATAAAAGAAATTGTTATAAGCCCAAAACCAACAATCAAACCTTCAAGAAAAAAGGCAATTGCTTTGTGTGTAGCAAACCTGGCCATTATGCTGCTCAATATCGGAAGAGGGTTGGAAATGACAATCCCGCTAAGGCTAAAGTAAATTTAACTTAAGCCAAAGCGGATGACATAATTGCTGCAATTGTTTCCCAAGTGAACCTTGTGGCCAATGTGAAAGATTGGGTGTTAGATTCGGGTGCCACTAGGCACATATGTGCTAACAAAAAAGACTTTGTGTCTTACACCCAAGTTGAGGAAGGAGAAGAGGTTGTATATCTTGGTGACTCAAGGACTACTCCAGTTCTTGGAAAAGGCAAAGTTCTTCTCAAACTCACATCTGGCAAAACTTTGGCATTGAATGACGTGTTGCATGTTCCTAGTATCCGATCCAATTTAGTCTCTATGGGATTATTAGGAAAAGTGGGGGTGAAGGTTTCTTTTGAATCTGATAAGGCCGTGTTGACCAAGAATAGTGTTGTATTCTGGCCCGGGCCCGGGCCTTCGTGGNTAGCATAATATATTTTCTTGTAGTATATTATATTGATCTTATGTATATATATTCACATAATATATTGTCTTGTAGTATATATATTGTATCTTATGTATTTATATTCTCTTATATATTTTCTTATAGTATATATATTGTATCTTATGTATATATATTCGCATAATATATTGTCTTGTAGTATATATATTGTATCTTATGTATATATATTCTCTTATATATTTTCTTGTAGTATATATATTGTATCTTATGTATATATATTCGCATAATATATTTTCTTGTAGTATATATATTGTATCTTATGTATATATTGTAGCTTATAAATAATTCTAAGTAAAGACAAAGAAATATTGCGAAAAGATATTCAAGGGTAGAAGCAATAAATTTTATTACCAAAAATGACATATCTTTCTTAGTCATCCTTCCCCCAATGGAATGAGCACAACAAGGTACTAATACCACCATTAGAAGGAAAAAAAAATTAAGGAAGATGTGCCAAAATACAAGTTACATATTAGTCTATATGCAATTATGCGTTTTTGCATTATCCATTCCTCATCTATCCAATGACTTGTAACAGTTAGATAATCACAATCATTACCACTTCTACCAATATCAGTAGTAATAGAAATCCGATTAGGTATATGAGAAAATAAATACCGCAAATATTGTTCATATTCATGTTTGAATTTATAAATATCATTCTTAACTGTTGCGCGAGGCCAACCTTTATAAGTAGGATTAAAAACTCTTCTAATATAATGAACCCAATTAGGATTAGATGCAAAAGTATGATGTAAGCATATAACAGTAATCATCTTTGTCAATTCTTCACGATCTCTATTTGGATCGTAATATAAAATACCTCCGGTGACAGTGTTAATTCTT